ATCTGTTATTTACTCACGTATAATAAACATATATATACTCATACCCTTCAATACAGAAGCATTCCCTAAATCCGCTACACATCAGGTAGGCCCGATCATCCTATAACTTGATAATAGTAATTTAAATTGAACAAGTGAACAAAACTGGAGGCCAGTTGATAAGTAGAAGGGCTTATCCGCACATTTATCACTAAAAATGTGCCTAGTTTCACTAATACATTTAATTCTAAAACAGCAACCTAGACGAACTATAATATCGCGGAGAAATCATGCTCAATATTTTGCGGAGGTTTCGTTCCTATATACAGAAAATTCGATCAAATTTTCAGCTGTGAGACGGATGCTCGTCACTAATTTTGATAGCTGCTAAACAAACACACAGAACAGATATTCACGGCAATGACTATCCGAAACAATGATATTGTAGGTTAAATCCTTCAAAATACTCACTTCTTCTTCTAATCTCTTCCTCCCTAACCCATTAATGAGGATTTATAAAGATTCTCAGACCTCTTAAACAAATTCCAAATAATGAAGACGCAGCTTAAAGGGGTTAATCGCCCGCGCTCCAATGCAAACAACGCGCCCCAGTGAGAACTCGGGTTACTGTGTCACACGTTCACGGGACGATGTAATCCGACTTGTAATTCTTTATGATATGCAGCCCTCGACGTTAATTAAATTCCTTGTCACTAATTTTTGTTGTTGGATTATTTGACGTCCTAATTGGGCATCATCGCCTTGCAGTGAAAGAGCAGATCGCAAGCGGCCTACGTGAAGCATCGGGATGTTATAAAAGTTACTGCTTTGAAAGGGTGAGGCTATTGAGAGTGTAATCGAGGAATGCCACGATTGCGTTTAACCTGGTCATATAACTGTTAAAATTCTATTTATATATATTCAATCGATTAGTGTAATTCCAATAGTGAGTGTTTCCTCTATCTGTAAAAGTTTCAAGCAGTTTTCAAAACAGATCTCGAAATTCAGGCTTCTTAAGGTGGCCTTTGGATCGGAATTTGTCTTTGTGCTTCTTCAAGATGATCATGACTTTTCAACTTTGGTATTCCCAGATTGTTGGGAACTAACTGCTGTTCTATTTCTTCACATGGCGATGAGAGTATCGAAAGGTATTCTGCAAAATAAGAAAAGGAGAGGATTGAACTCTTTCTTCAGGAAGGATAACAATCTGCCGAAACTTGACATTTCTGCCAACTTTTTTAATTTCGAGGTATCACTCTGAAAAAATTCAAGTGTAACCCTGAAATTTTTTCCTGAGCAATAGTACGCACCCGAAAAACAGCAAATGGGCAATTTCAATTGAGCCACTCGGATTGGCAGCACTAATTACAAACGTTTACGCTTGAATTGACATAGAGTACTGGGTATGGTAGCTCACAACAAGATGGGTTTGAACCTTCCAATCCTGTTGATCATTACACACCTAAAGAAATACTGGGCACAAAAATGCCCATATATTTCTGCTGAGTGGGCATGATTTTTCTTTCCTGAAGCCGGTTTTCAAAGTAGTTTCTTTCTTTCTTTTGGAATTGATTTCCAATTTTCAATTCGATCATGATGAGATCGAACTCTTATACCAGTTCCTCTTCGACTTGACTAGTCTTTCTTTCAATAATTTATTTACAAGAGAGGATAGCATAACACGAGAACAAATAGGATGACACAAGACAGAATGAAATTAACAAAACAAGTATAAGGTAGTTACAAAAGAGTATGACAGCAATATTTATAGCTGTCCTTATGGGCGTGCTCTATCCCCTAGTTACGCTCTATGCCACGGCCTCGCACATCCCGGGGGAGCATGCATCCCCAGGTTATCACGCCGTGACCGGCCTCACCATAGGTTATAGGTGCCAGATCGGCTATCCCTACAAACTTACCCATCGCTCCTGTTCCGATGTTGTTAACTTTCTCTTAAATGCTTTCTTTGTTTTTCCTCGGAGACTCCTACCCAACAGGAGTTCCCGGCCAGTCCTAACACAGCAAGTGCCTCGTTACTTCTGTTTTGGAGATTATGCGTGCTGTTCTCAAACCCATCCATTACAATACAATGTTGCGTAGTCGCCTGTTCCTATAATCGTCCTGTTTTTTATCCATCCACGGCTGGCTAATTAGGATCAGTCTCGCCTAAGACTCCAAAGGCACCTCTTTCAATCAACCGGGTTACTCTACTTCACCTCAAGAGACAAAATAGGGATTTAGATACTCAGCCCCTAATTCGAATGACATATACACCCTTCGTGTATTGACTTGGTTATTGATTCGGCCGCTCTCTGCAGTTCCACGAAGTTAAGTTTAGGTAGCACCATTGTACCGCGTCTTTGTCGGGCTAGAAGGAGTTCTTCCATCTGTTCATTGGAAGTCACCTTGTTCAAATGAAGCGAAAGCCTTAATCTTTCTATGATGTATTCAATATTACTGAGTAATCGAGCTGGTCTTCTTTCGAAAGTCTCTCGGAATCTTTGTTGATTCCAGTTTGTCAATACGACACAGATCAGTTGGTCGAGTGATCATAAAGCATAGACAGTCGGCACCCTTCCTGAATCGCGACCGGCTGGCTGGTCGGTATACGCGGGCAACGCTGTGAAATTGCCCGCAAGGCAATGGAGCGACAGCGTGAGACCGATCGGTATCCGGTCTGCCCTTCTTTGAGGGAGTAGTCCGTCATCTATCGGATACTGATGATTCGGGAAGGCATGAAGACGGTAGAGGCCGATGGAGCCTCGGATGCTACAGCCGAGGGATCTCGCCTTGAAGCACGCCTGCAGATCGAAGGGACAGGTGAGTGTAGTGTATCACGTCTTATGCATGTGCCTTATTATTCTTTTCTATATTGTAATTACCTGCTTTGCTTACTGAGTCTTTCTCTTAGCGATGATATTCTTCTCCTTGTATTCCGTTACTTACTGCTCTGGGTCATTTGTTACCGTCGTTGTTTATTCTTTTCCCGCCTGGCCGTTTCTTGTGTTGTCTTCATAGTTATGTAGTTGTAGTTGTAGGGTAGTTATTAATAGACTAGTATTCCTTGCCTATGTTTGCCAACTTGGGGAGTAGGTAAATTAGGGCTCCCCAGCTGCGACAGGAAACGTAAATTGTGTCGCCGCGCTCTCACTGCTGGTCCACGTACGGAAGGGCAGGGCTCCCGTAGCGAAGACCCCTAGAAGGTTCATAATCACTAGGTTACTGAGCCATTTAGCCAATCACTAGTTATCAGTAAACTATTGAATGGCTTCTTTTCCCAACTTATACATTCTCAGCGAGTTACTCGAGTAACTTCGTTCTTCTCAATCGAAAGTGTTAACGATATTCGTTCAGTCTTTGTAGCACGGTTGTTTTCTGCCCTACTGTCTCTTAGGTTTTTGAGAATAAAATAACTATTTTTGTAACTCGTACTCATGCAGTTGTACTATAAACTCTATCATGCTTCAGATTGCAGATGTATTATTATGAAAATTGAATTCTACTTTTGTTTCGTACATAACAATCACTTGTTTCCTTCTGCCGTGCCTTCCTTTCGATTCATAGGTTGGCTGGCGTGGCGCACATCTCGATTTCGCCAGGAATCTACAGTATGCTGCCGAAAACGAGAAGTTGCTCATGCCATCAGGCCACGATTGCATCATTCGTTACCGTCATTCGTCTCCGTCCCCTGGTACGCACTCGACGCCAACGGCATCGGCGCACCATAAGAGGATCCCTCAGCACCACTATACCGTCATCTACTATTGAAGCCTAAGTTTGTCTGAGGTGAGGTAGATCCAGAGGAATGGTTCGCAGTCAAGGATGAACCAAGGAGCAGCAGTACCGCGAGCTGGCTGGGAGGATTATGTGACCCGGGCTGAAATTAGCAGGATCGTACTTCGTCCGAAGGTTTAGGATGGTTCTAATGTTACACTTATTTTTCCATATTCCTTTCCATAGTATTTCTTGTTATAGTTATAGTTATATCAGTTACTCGCACTCAACCCAACATTTATTCTTTTTATTGCACAAAAAACTATATAATCACTTATGTGTGCTTAGTATGTGAAGTGTAGTGTCACTCATGTCCTGGGACGCCGGAATGGCCCATCGTAGGCCTTGGAAGAACCGCACATCCAGCGCCTTGAGGGAACTTGGCGCTGGGGTAGCAACCCCCAGCGCTCTGCGGTGGTAGTATCAGCCCATAGGAGGATGCAAGGGGGACTAGGGCAGTCCAGGCCTACCATGTCCGTGTGAAAAATGGGTTCGAGCATCAGCGAGCGAGCAGAGGATCCCGGTCACCGCTCTACGGAATTATCGACAATGAGCCGCCGCTCTTCAGTGCAGTTCAGTACCTGTCAAGGATATGGAATTGCACAGGAATGGTTGTCAGTCATGACAGATAAGCATGGCTTAAATTAGTGGTCGTCCGAGCTGGATCGAAAGAAGAACTGAAAAAACATCAGAAGACAGAGCGTGACCATGGTATGGCAGGAATTTCCTAGCATACCTTTTCACCCTCCACAAAGGGATCGATCGTCAAATACAAAGAAGACCACTCGCTAGTAGTAAGTATCGAATAGTTTGTTATCCTCAAAGAACAATGTCCCGGAATTCGGCCTTGTAATGGCTAGTAGTGTTTACTAAATCGTGCCAATGCTAGCATTATCCCACCCTCTTATCATTGCTATTCTGTACTAATGGTTTCGATGCTTTTATTTATCCACTAAACCCTTGCCACGATCATTTCACTTTTCATGCTGTCACTTCTTTAATCCAGGAAACGAATTCCGGATCGATCTCAGTAAATATAGAATTCCATTCTTTCAGGGTCGGCGACAAGTTGGTCTAGGGAGCTAAAAGGACTAGCTTGTACATCGGCTGACTACCGCAATTCATTGTTGAGGCCACCTACACATTCAGAACGCTGCTACGATTCTGAATGAAAGTCGAATGCGGGGCGGATTTTAGTAACGAGAGTGATTAGCCTGAGAAACCTGTTTCGTTGTGAATTGAAAGCAACGAGTCATCCACGGTCAAATGGGAAATATTAAACATCGTCTTGAACTATAGGAATACGAAAGAAATAAAAGAAATGGACGGAAAAACTCTCGGCAAGTGACTTCGTGATTTTTTGCTTACTAAGGTTTCCACTAAATGCATATCCAGACATCAGGCACTGTTCCCCTATCGGCTCCAAACTTCACTTGCAGTCGATTGAAAAAACTTTATGCTGGATGGAACCATTCCCTTTCGTTTTTTTGTATTGTACCATTGCTGGCACTTGATTGCCTTCTCCGTCGTAATGCTGACAACCATCGATGGAATGGTGTGGAAAATGCAGTAGGCTACACCCAATGTGAACATGGGCCTAATTAATGTACTAGATAACAGTATAATCATCAAAAAATGTAGCGGCAGAATCATTCTAGGACCATCCAGACCTCAAAAATTTAGCAAACTAATATTTGCCACGTCAAGTAACCTAGTTTCGAGGCTGCCCCGCGACGGCATCTCTTGACCTAGTAGCGGCACACATGAGAGGTACGAGAGTTTGTACCCGCTTCGTCTAATCTCTTATTACCGCTTTCTCTCTCGAGTAGCAGTGTTGCCTGACGTCAATTGCCAGAATTGATCCTCTCTGGGAGGGTGTCGGAGGGGTGTGAACGACCATGGTCTGGTTATACCTGCTAATGACTCATACCCATCACACGCACACTCTTTTCTTTGAACAGAATCGAGACCATTTTTTTGCTGATTTCTTGATGATTCACAGCCTCTGGTTTCTTCTTTGAAATTTCGTTCCTTTATCGAACCTTTCACACTTGAAAAGTTCGACCTTTTCTTCGAGTTTCACTCCATACGTTTTCAAATGCGTTCTCGATATAGATCGTTTTTATCGATTTGAAGCTACTAGCTCTTTTTACGAACTATTATTCAGATGACAGCGCAATGGACTAAACGGACAGTGTTAAAATTCACGCCTATCAGCTTACTGCTTTTGCTATTTCCAGTAGCTGCTGCAACTGGCCTTTCAACCGGGCTCACATATTTTACTCGGAGAGCTTATGATACTACTGAGACAAATAAGTGAGCTTCTTGACATCTATTAAAGTATAAATGAAGCTTCATGGCGAATTCTTCAGAGATCATGGTGATGATGATAACTCACCTTCTGCACGACAACTGCGTCTTCCAAGGAACATAGAGCCGTGTAAGTACTGTAGTCACTAGATACCTTGAGGACCTCTTGATTCAGGGCATTGGACTATGTGTTTCTACTTACTTCAGGAATTTGAAACTTCAGAACAGATTTGAACAATGTGGCATTTGCACCAGGTCACCTTCTTCTTCCCCCAGTACTTATCCCTGACCTTCACATGATCCGCTGCCCCAATGAGTTGCCTCTACTTCGTTCTATCTACCGCATCTACTGCCACCGAGTTGCCTCACATACAATATACAATACAATACCCAATTCTCACTCAGAATGACAGAGGATATATGAGACTTACTTTTTCCTACCCTTGGGTTTCAAAGGTATGTATGGTATCCTTATAAAACGCAAAGCACGGATAGAGGGCTCGAATAGCGCGGATACGCAGGTCAAGTGTAAGAGAAAGTAAGAAAGGTAAAGGGGCAGGAGATTGACCGGCCACCTTCGTGTGAAAAAAAAATATTACTATTTTCAGTATTGTATGATCTGAGCATCAAAACGTATCTGCCGAATTACGTGGACTTCCCACCCGAGAAGAATCTCACATTTGATGGACAAGTAGGAATCTCTTTGAGGGTGCTCGAACCTACCAAAAGTATTGTGCTCAACGCAAAGAATATCACGGTGATACCGAAGAAATGCGAACTGCTCCTGGTCAGTTTTCAATCATTTTCTTCTTCTTTTCTTGAAAATAGCTTTAATTAAATTTTTGCGACGTTGAGAAAAATTTCTACCCGCAACATTGACAATAGGTCCGGCTATCCTCTTTTCGAGTGTTTTCTTGAAGCTGAAAGATTTTCTTCACCCCAACGTGGTCTAGACGTGGTCCCAGTCTGTTTGGCCTCTTGAAAACCAACATTAAGGGTTTCCAAATAAAAAATCTGTCATAAGCAATATTTATCAAACCAGTCGGGCCGCCCGGCTGACGCCGGGCTTCCCTCCTTCTTATAGGTTCGCCTGACTACGCCGGGCGCTCTCTCTCTCTTTCTCTGTAACATATCTGCAGGAACATGTCCGTCTGTGCTGCAAGAACGTCCATAAATAGAAGCGATTTTAGTAGTCCGAATTAGGAGTGATTTTCCCTGTAAGCCACCTTCGCTGTGTCCGAATAGAACATCGCATAATATGACAAAAGCGGTTATTCAGAGAAAAAAGTATTCAGAGACTTCATCGCGGCTGAGTCTACTATGTTAGCTACCATCAATGTTCCCAGCCTTGTGCCTTCAAGTTCCAACGGTCTGGGTTCGAAGTAACCGTATTTATTCACGCCCAGCCCTTTGGGACGAAGTTTAGTCTTGCAACCTAACATCAGTGTTCCTATCCTTCCTCCTGTATTCCTACCAATGGTCGCTCTAAGTCCATTCTGACATTTCTCCGCAAGCCCCGGCCCGTGAAGGAGTTATGATTTTCCGCACGAATCCCGCCCCCTGTGGGGAGAGTCCGGCCCCGTCACCCACCATAAATGTTCCCATCCTGCCACCTGTACTCCTTCCAAATTTGAACGCTCTAGGTCTGAGTTTAAGTTTTCACACAAACCTCGCCCCTTGTGAGCGGAGTCCCGTCCTGCCACCCACCATAAATGTTCCCATCCTGCCACCTGTACTCCTTCCAAATTCGAACGCTCTGAGCCAAAGTTTAGGTTTTCACACAAACCCCACCCCTTGTGGGCGGAGTCCGGTCCTGCCACCAACCAAGAATGTTCCCATTCTGCCGCCTGTATTCCTTCCAAATTTGAGCGCTCAAAGTTCAGGTTTTTCACACAAACCCCGCCCCTTGTGGGCGGAGTCCGGTCCTGCCACCCACCATAAATGTTCCCATCCTGCCGCCTGTACTCCTTCCAAATCTGAACTGTCTAGGTCCACGGAGACAGATGTTATGGCTTACCGCTCAAACATTTATTTCGCACAAACTCCGCCCCCTGTGGGCGGAGTCCGAACCCACCAACCTCCATTAGTGTTCCTATCCTGCTGCCTATACACATACCAAATTTGAACTCTCTAGGTCCATGGGGACTGCAGTTATGAATTTCCGGTCAAACACACAACTACACACACACACACAAACACACACACAGACAGACAAACCAACAGACACACTTAGCGCGTTATATATAGTAGGATATTTAGAGAGAAGTAAAGAAAAGTAGTGTAAATCTTGCAGGGCGACCAAAAACTCAAAATAGAAAGTGTCAAAGAACATGAAAGACTAGAAAAGGTGGAGTTTCTACTGAGAAATCGGCTACAGAAGGATCAAAAGGTCCTGCTGAAGGTTGGAAATTTTTCAAAACGTTCTCACCTTACTAATTACTATCTACTATTTCAATTATGCTGTTTATTACGTAACATTAAGATAATTTATACGGGTCTCATTAGCAACACACTTTTCGGACTTTATCAAGCCACCTATACAGACGCGGATGGAACCGTCAAGTGAGTTCGATTTAATGTGAGAAATTACGACCCGGTTTGAGAGAGCACACCCTTATTGCTTTCCCTCGAGGAACTTGATGAAAGCCACAGAAATGCTGATTGTCCAAAAAAAAACTGAAGTTAATACCAGAAGAGGAATCAACGGGGCACGTTAGCAGCTACTACGTTTGCTGGTTTTTTACAGTTTAAGAAGTTAAACACGAGCCTAGGTCTTGAACTTCAGGACTTGAGAACCTATTGAGTCTTGTCAACTATCCCTTCATGAAAGCCTTGTCAAGCTGATTTCGGAGAAATACTTCCCAAGCAGATGCTCTATCTAATCCGCTTCGAATTCAGGATTGCTGCAGCAACTCATATGGAACCGACAGCCGCTCGTCGTATGGTACCATGCTTAGATGAACCAAGTTTCAAAGCCAATTGGACTGTGACTGTCATACATCCAAAAGGGACAAAAGCTGTGTCGAACGGCATCGAAACAAATGGAAAAGGGTTAGTAAATGTTCGAAATTAAGTGAAAATGCGATGCATTGGTTCATGACGCCTTGGAAGCAGGAAGAACACCACTAAATTTACAGTGGGAGCTCCCTATACGTACAATCCGACACAGCTCTAGCCCATTAGCCCGCCTGCTTGATTATTATTTACCAGTTGGTTCGTCCGGCTAACGCCGGGCTTCCCTCCTTTTTCGACAAAGTTGTAGCGAACGGCTAACTCCCCACTCTTTCTTTGAAACAAATAATACTCTCTTAAACACGAAGGTTGACACAGGACTACAGGACTAACAGAGCAGTGCAAATGGTATTCAGTGTAGGTCGGTGCTCATGCCTCCAATTGGAAGTCTCTATCTTTTGCTCTAGTTCTTAAAAATAAATACCCAATAAAGATTTAACTGTCAAGCGACCAATGCCTTGGGCGGTACTCACAAATGTTTTGAGTGATGATAACGCCATTATCAGAAGTCATTATCAATAGACCCTTTTCTTACGGGAATATCATTTACTGAGAATTCCAGATTACTGGCGTTCCGTTAAGGTTTGTCGTAAATGATATCGAACAAAGTTCCTTCATTGGGATACGAACCTCGCTGGGTAGCGGTCTAATCTAATAGCAAGAAATGAACAAAATTCTCATCTGCTTATCGTATTGCCGCTAATGGGTCCCTATCACTGCACTCACCACTAACTTTTACCATCCCACTCTACCATCCCGTCTTATTTGATGAAAATACTGAATGCTCAAAGCTACATCGTAAACACCGAAGGGTTAGGATTTTGATCGGTAGGTGGCTCTTACTCTCGTAGGCCCCTTGTGTTCTCTTGACAGTTGTCATCGGTTGCTGCCCACCAAGTACCTACGGTCCCGTCATATCCTACATCACTTAACAAAATGCACAAGTTCCACTGTTAATGCGAAAAGCTGTGATCCCACCAAGTTTGAACTCTTTGGGTCCACGGGAACAGGAGTTATCAACATCCGCTCAACCATTTATTTTGCGCAAAACCCACTCCCCCCCCCCCCCCCCTGC